CTGTTTGTTGTTATAGTGTGCTGTGTGTTTCTCCACTTCTGTATGTGGTTATAGTGTGCTGTGTGTTTCCCCACTGCTGTTTGTGGTAATAGTGTCCTGTGTGTTTCTCCACTTCTGTTTGTGGTTATAGTGTGCTGTGTGTTTTTCCACTTCTGTATGTGGTTATAGTATGCTGTGTGTTTCTCCACTGCTGTTTGTGGTTATAGTGTGCTGTGTGTTTCCCCACTCCTGTATGTGGTTTTAGTGTGCTGGGTGTGGTTATAGTATGCTGTGTGTTTCCCCACTGCTATATGTGATTGTGGTGTGGGGTTTGTTTCCAAATTGCTGTTTGTGATTATAGTACGCCGTGTGTTTCCCCACTTCTGTTTATGATTATAGTATGATGTGTTTCCCCACTGCTGTTTGTGATTATAGTGTGCTGTGTTTCCCCACTGCGATTTCTGATTATAGTACGCTGTGTCCCCCACTGCTGTTTGTGATTATTGTGTGCTGTGTTTCCCACTGCTGTTTGTGATTATAGTGCGCGGTGTCCCCCACTTCTGTTTGTGATTATAGCGTGCTGTGTCCCCCACTGCTGTTTGTGATTATAGTGTGCTGTGTTTTTCCCCACTGCTGTTTGTGATTATAGTGTGCTGTGGCCCCCACTTCTGTTTGTGATTATAGTGCGCTGGGTCCCCTACTTCTGTTTGTGATTATAGTGCGCTGTGTTTCCCCACTCCTGTTTGTGATTATAGTGCTCTGTGTCCCCAACTGCTGTTTGTGATTATAGTGCGCTATGTCCTCCACTGCTGTTTGTGACTATAGTGTGCTGTGTGTTTCCCACTGCTGTTTGTGAATATAGTGTGCTGTGTTTCCCCACTGTTGTTTGTGATGATAGTGTGCTGTGTCCCCCACTCCTGTTTGTGATTATAGTGTGCTGTGTTTTTCCCCACTGCTGTTTGTGATTATAGTGTGCTGTGGCCCCCACTTCTGTTTGTGATTATAGTGCGCTGTGTTTCCCCACTGCTGTTTGTGATGATAGTGTGCTGTGTGTTTCCCACTGCTGTTTGTGATTATAGTGCTCTGTGTCCCCCACTGCTGTTTGTAATTATGGTGTGCTGTGTGTTTCCCCACTGCTGTTTGTGAATATAGTGTGCTGTGTGTTTCCCCACTGCTGTATGTGATTATAGTGTGCTGTGTCCCCCACTCCTGTTTGTGATTATACTGTGCTGTGTTTTTCCCCACTGCTGTTTGTGATTATAGTGTGCTGTGGCCCCCACTTCTGTTTGTGATTATAGTGCGCTGTGTTTCCCCACTGCTGTTTGTGATGATAGTGTGCTGTGTGTTTCCCACTGCTGTTTGTGAATATAGTGCTCTGTGTCCCCCACTGCTGTTTGTGATTATAGTGCGCTGTGTCCTCCACTGCTGTTTGTGAATATAGTGTGCTGTATGTTTCCCCACTGCTGTATGTGATTATAGTGTGCTGTGTCCCCCACTCCTGTTTGTGATTATACTGTGCTGTGTTTTTCCCCACTGCTGTTTGTGATTATAGTGTGCTGTGGCCCCCACTTCTGTTTGTGATTATAGTGCGCTGTGTTTCCCCACTGCTGTTTGTGATGATAGTGTGCTGTGTGTTTCCCACTGCTGTTTGTGAATATAGTGCTCTGTGTCCCCCACTGCTGTTTGTGATTATAGTGCGCTGTGTCCCCCACTGCTGTTTGTGATTATAGTGCGCTGTGTCCTCCACTGCTGTTAGTGATTATAGTGTGCTGTGTTTCCCCACTGCTGGTTGTGATTATAGTGTGCTGTGTTTCCCACTGCTGTTTGTGACTATAGTGTGCTGTGTGTTTCCCACTGCTGTTTGTGACTATAGTGTGCTGTGTCCCCCACTGCGATTTGTGACTATAGTGCGCTGTGTCCCCAACTGCTGTTTGTGATGATAGTGTGCTGTGTTTCCCCACTGCTGTTTGTAATTATAGTGTGCTGTGTTTCCCACTGCTGTTTGTGATTATAGTGTGCTGTGTTTCCCCACTGCTGTTTGTAATTATAGTGTGCTGTGTTTCCCCACTGCTGTTTGTGAATATAGTGCGCTGTGTTTCCCCACTGCTGTTTGTGATTATAGTGCGCTGTGTTTCCCCACTGCTGTTTGTGATTATAGTGTGCTGTGTGTTTCCCACTGCTGTTTGTGAATATAGTGTGCTGTATGTTTCCCACTGCTGTTTGTGATTATAGTGTGCTTTGTGTTTCCCACTGCTATTTGTGAATATAGTGTGCTGTGTTTCCCCACTGCTGTTTGTAATTATAGTGTGCTGTGTTTACCAACTGCTGTTTGTGATTATAGTGTGCTGTGTTTCCCACTGCTGTTTGTGACTATAGTGTGCTGTATGTTTCCCACTGCTGTTTGTGACTATAGTGTGCTGCGTCCCCCACTGCGATTTGTGACTATAGTGCGCTGTGTCCCCAACTGCTGTTTGTGATGATAGTGTGCTGTGTTTCCCCACTGCTGTTTGTAATTATAGTGTGCTGTGTTTCCCACTGCTGTTTGTGATTATAGTGTGCTGTGTTTCCCCACTGCTGTTTGTAATTATAGTGTGCTGTGTTTCCCCACTGCTGTTTGTGAATATAGTGTGCTGTGTTTCCCCACTGCTGTTTGTAATTATAGTGTGCTGTGTTTCCCACTGCTGTTTGTGATTATAGTGTGCTGTGTGTTTCCCCACTGCTGTTTGTAATTATAGTGTGCTGTGTTTCCCCACTGCTGTTTGTGAATATAGTGCGCTGTGTTTCCCCACTGCTGTTTGTGATTATAGTGCGCTGTGTTTCCCCACTGCTGTATGTGATTATAGTGTGCTGTGTCCCCCACTCCTGTTTGTGATTATACTGTGCTGTGTGTTTCCCCACTGCTGTATGTGATTGTAGTGTGCTGTGTCCCCCACTCCTGTTTGTGATTATACTGTGCTGTGTTTTTCCCCACTGCTGTTTGTGATTATAGTGTGCTGTGGCCCCCACTTCTGTTTGTGATGATAGTGTGCTGTGTGTTTCCCACTGCTGTTTGTGAATATAGTGCTCTGTGTCCCCCACTGCTGTTTGTGATTATAGTGCGCTGTGTCCTCCACTGCTGTTTGTGAATATAGTGTGCTGTGTGTTTCCCACTGCTGTTTGTGACTATAGTGTGCTGCGTCCCCCACTGCGATTTGTGACTATAGTGCGCTGTGTCCCCAACTGCTGTTTGTGATGATAGTGTGCTGTGTTTCCCCACTGCTGTTTGTAATTATAGTGTGCTGTGTTTCCCACTGCTGTTTGTGATTATAGTGTGCTGTGTTTCCCCACTGCTGTTTGTAATTATAGTGTGCTGTGTTTCCCCACTGCTGTTTGTGAATATAGTGCGCTGTGTTTCCCCACTGCTGTTTGTGATTATAGTGCGCTGTGTTTCCCCACTGCTGTTTGTGATTATAGTGTGCTGTGTGTTTCCCACTGCTGTTTGTGAATATAGTGTGCTGTATGTTTCCCACTGCTGTTTGTGATTATAGTGTGCTTTGTGTTTTCCACTGCTATTTGTGAATATAGTGTGCTGTGTTTCCCCACTGCTGTTTGTAATTATAGTGTGCTGTGTTTACCAACTGCTGTTTGTGATTATAGTGTGCTGTGTTTCCCACTGCTGTTTGTGACTATAGTGTGCTGTATGTTTCCCACTGCTGTTTGTGAATATAGTGTGGTGTGTCCCCCACTGCGATTTGTGACTATAGTGCGCTGTGTCCCCAACTGCTGTTTGTGATGATAGTGTGCTGTGTTTCCCCACTGCTGTTTGTAATTATAGTGTGCTGTGTTTCCCACTGCTGTTTTTGATTATAGTGTGCCATGTTTCCCCACTGCTGTTTGTAATTATAGTTTGCTGTGTTTCCCCACTGCTGTTTGTGAATATAGTGCGCTGTGTTTCCCCACTGCTGTTTGTGATTATAGTGCGCTGTGTTTCCCCACTGCTGTTTGTGATTATAGTGTGCTGTGTGTTTCCCACTGCTGTTTGTGAATATAGTGTGCTGTATGTTTCCCACTGCTGTTTGTGATTATAGAGTGCTTTGTGTTTCCCACTGCTATTTGTGAATATAGTGTGCTGTGTTTCCCCACTGCTGTTTGTAATTATAGTGTGCTGTGTTTACCAACTGCTGTTAGTGATTATAGTGTGCTGTGTTTCCCACTGCTGTTTGTGACTATAGTGTGCTGTATGTTTCCCACTGCTGGTTGTGATTATAGTGCGCTGTGTCCTCCACTGCTGTTTGTGGTTATAGTGTGCTGTGTGTTTCCCACTGCTGTTTGTGACTATAGTGTGCTGTGTCCCCCACTGCGATTTGTGACTATAGTGCGCTGTGTCCCCAACTGCTGTTTGTGATGATAGTGTGCTGTGTTTCCCCACTACTGTTTGTAATTATAGTGTGCTGTGTTTCCCACTGCTGTTTGTGATTATAGTGTGCTGTGTTTCCCCACTGCTGTTTGTAATTATAGTGTGCTGTGTTTCCCCACTGCTGTTTGTGAATATAGTGCGCTGTGTTTCCCCACTGCTGTTTGTGATTATAGTGCGCTGTGTTTCCCCACTGCTGTTTGTGATTATAGTGTGCTGTGTGTTTCCCACTGCTGTTTGTGAATATAGTGTGCTGTATGTTTCCCACTGCTGTTTGTGATTATAGTGTGCTTTGTGTTTCCACATGCTATTTGTGAATATAGTGTGCTGTGTTTCCCCACTGCTGTTTGTAATTATAGTGTGCTGTGTTTACCAACTGCTGTTTTTGATTATAGTGTGCTGTGTTTCCCACTGCTGTTTGTGACTATAGTGTGCTGTATGTTTCCCACTGCTGTTTGTTCTTATAGTGTGCTGTGTGTTTCCCACTTCTATTTGTGAATATAGTGTGCTGTGTTTCCCCACTGCTGTTTGTAATTATAGTGTGCTGTGTTTCCCACTGCTGTTTGTGATTATAGTGTGCTGTGTTTCCCCACTGCTGTTTGTGAATATAGTGTGCTGTATATTTCAGGGTGGCGGGAGTACTGTTCAGGCTGGATGCAGCTGCTGTGCGACTCCTACTTAAACTACGCCGCTCCCGTGTGTGGCGGCCAGACCAACGTCATCCATGTTGAACTCATCACACACAATCAAGGCCCAAGATTACTCAGCTTACTGAAAAGTAAAAAGAACCAGAAGTCTATTTTCTTTGTGGGCATTGGTATCCACGGGACCTATCATGAACAGCTGGTCTGGAAGAACTTTCTTTCTCCATCAATCAACCTTCTACACGAAAACGCAAGAAATAAGACAGCATGGCCGAAACTGGTGTGGGTTTCCCCCCACGCTCCCGGAATACTGAAAACACCACGGGTTCCAGGCCAGAGTTACAGCAGCGTTGTCAGATATAACGCCTTCATCAACAGCCATGTCAGAGCAGCTGGGATACCAATACTGGACACCTTCAACATGACAGACGGCATCATGAGCTACGATGGGGCACACTACGGGTTCGGAATTAATATGATCAAATCTCAGATTGTGTTTAACTACCTTACACATCTGCGGGCACATGGCATATGGTGACTCAGCATGAGAAAGTGTGAGTGTGTGCCGGCACGTGGCATGTGATGCATATTTAAGCAATAGTTGTACATTGAGGGATGGGGTGGGTGAGTTAGAAAGTCCTATTTCCTTTTTTTATTTTATATACTTATATCTTTTCATTTGTTTGTACCAACTATGATAATAGACCTTTTATAATTTTAATGTAATTGGGCATCTAAAATTAAGCTGTATTTGTATAGGTTTGGTTTTGTGTATATTTAGAGGAGTCAGGGTGCCGATTTGTCTAAATTGTTTATTTCTGAATTTGACGTAAGACGTTTGGAATTATGAACAGGACTATCACACTCAGCCAATGTTGGAAGCTCAAAGATGCAACATTATGATCTTTTTAAATCAACCTCCACTGTGATATATTATCTATCAGTTGCCAATTTTGATAAATTTGGATCGACAATGGCTAGATTCCGCTGTAGCTCACATGCTTTACCCGAGTGAGTAAGTTAATATCTAATGTCAAATCGGCAGTATTTCAGCCATGTAGTAGCGAGCGTGCTTTACCTATGGAAGCTAAATTTAACATTTGAAACCTCACGCTGCGCGTTCGGTTCCAAATTCAATTTAGCGAGGTTAAATCTACAGGTAACCTAGCTCTACATTGAAAACACAGTATGTTTATCTCCTAATTAGAAAATGGTAACAGATAGGAATAAACCAAACCGTTGATAGCTGCAATGAGGTAGTTACATTACATACACAACGTTCGTGGGAGAGAACTATTACTTCCAAAGGAATTAAATTAAAAGAGAAAGGACATTTCACATTTGTCACATGAGTATCCTAGACATTTCATATTGATCGTTATCACTGAAACCATGCATCACCCTCACTGAAACCATGCATCACCCTCACTGAAACCATGCATTACCCTCAATGAAACCACGCATCACCCTCACAGAAACCATGCACCACTTCACCGAAACCATGCAGTACTTCACCGAAACCATGCTGTACTTCACCGAAACCATGCAGCATTTCACAGGAACCATGCATAACCCTCACCGAAACCATGCATCACCCTCACAGAAACCACGCATCACTCTCACAGAAACCACGCATCACCCTCACAGAAACCATGCACCACTTCACCGAAACCATGAATCACCCTCACCGAAACCATGCATCACCCTCACAGAAACCACGCATCACTCTCACAGAAACCACGCATCACCCTCACCTTTCATATTGATCATTGGATTGGTTCCATGTTATCGTTATCACTGAAACCATGCATCACCCTCACAGAAACCACGCATCACTCTCACAGAATCCATGCATCAACCTTGCTGAAACCACGCATCACCCTCACAGAAACCACGCATCACCCTGACTGAAACAATGCATCACCCTCACTGAAACCACGCATCACCCTCACAGAAACCAAACATCACCCTCACAGAAACCACGCATCACCCTCACTGAAACCACGCATCACCCTCACAGAAACCATGCAGCACTTCACTAAAACCACGCATCACCCTCACTGAAACCAAACATCACCTTCACAGAAACCATGCAGCACTTCACTAAAACCACGCATCACCCTCACAGAACCCACGCAGCACTTCACTGAAATCGTACAGCACTTCACAGAAACCATGCATCACTTCACTGAAACGATGCAGTACTTCACCGAAACCATGCTGTACTTCACCGAAACCATGTAGTACTTCATTGAAACCATGCAACATCTCACAGGAACCATGCATCACCCTCACCGAAACCATGCATCACCCTCACAGAAACCACGCATCACTCTCACAGAAACCACGCATCACCCTCACCTTTCATATTGATCATTGGATTGGTTCCATGTTATCGTTATCACTGAAACCATGCATCACCCTCACTGAAACCACGCATCACCCTCACTGAAACCACGCAGCACCCTCACTGAAACCACGCAGCACCCTCACAGAAACAACGCAGCACTTCACTGAAATCGTGCAGCACTTCACCGAAACAAAGCAGTACTTCACCGAAGCCATGCATCACTTCACTGAAACCATGCATCAACTCCCTGAAACCACGCATCACCCTCACAGAAACCTTGCAGTACTTCACTGAAACCGTGCAGTACTTCAATGAAACCATGCAGCACTTCACTGAAACCATGCAGCACTTCACCGAAACCATGCAGCACTTCACTGAAAACATGCAGCACTTCACCGAAACCATGCAGTACTTCACTGAAACAAAGCAGTACTTCATCGAAAGCAGGCATCACTTCACTGAAACCGTGCAGCACTTCCCTGAAACCATGCATCAACTCCCTGAAACCACGCATCACCCTCACAGAAACCTTCAGTACTTAACTGAAACCGTGCAGTACTTCACTGGAACCGGGCAGTACTTCACCGAAACCATGCAGTACCTCACTGAAACAACGCAGCACGTCAATGAAACCATGCACCCCCAACGATGGAGATTTGATCCGGGTTCGATGTTGTAGTGAATGAACTTACACCGATTCACTTAGCGGTTTCAGCTTGACCTACTGTGATGAATGTTTACATGGAGTGATGTTTCGAGTCATTATTAACTCGTAAGCTACGCTCTGATTGCCCGGATAAAAGGTCGTTCTGATATAACATTTACTTAGATTTTTTAGTGGCAGTAGCGAGCTCTAGGATCTGGTTTTAAAGAGATTGTATAACGACAAGTATCAACTTTGATTTCAAAATTACTGTTTATTATAAACTTCAGTGTGAAAGACTATATTTAACGCAGTACAACATTATATATGTACAACTAAAAGATTTGTGTAAAGAACTGTTCATTCAACAATGCATCTCTCCCCTTCAAACTCTCCCACCCACCCCACCCCACCCCACCCCACCCCACCCCATCCCCATCCCCCACCCCCATCCCCCACCCCCTCTCTCTCTCTCTCAACATTTTATGTCTCTTCTATTGTGCTGTATGCATATAAATTGAATTTGAAATTGTGATATTTTGTAAAGACCAGGGAGGGGGCAATCTGAGTTGAAAGAACTTGTCCCCCAATCCCGTTCACTTGTGAATAAATATGTTTAAATTTAAAATCAAAGACTGAGTTTTCCGAAGTTGAGAAAACTGACATTTTCATTTCAATATCACGGTGGGGGACACCAGAAATGGGCTTCACACATTGTACCCTTCTCTGAATGAAACTAGGTTTAGATCATGTACATGAACAGGAAATAAGGGAAATATAATACGGCATATATCCTCAGCAAATTGGAGTGAACGCATAATTGAAAACTAGATTCCGAGTGACGAAACGGTTTTTTAAAATAATGTTAACCATCCAAATGGAACATATAATATAACATCGTTCTTATCATAGTCCATATCATTTTTGAACCACAAAACAATAAGGATGCAGATTGAGTATATCTATTTATAGAACTTGGTCCTTGTTGATCACGGAGGGTCTGTGAAGAAGAAACTACTTTCAATAAAAAAAATCATCCCAACTTTTTTTAATTTAATCATGGGGACAACATTTAGAATATTCATTCACGCGAAAGGTAATAGGTCATGGAACGATATTTCACTCCAGCCACACTGGGTCGGACTTGCCTCAATCTGTCCGCGTTATCAAGAAGCATAACTGATGGGATGGTTTATGTTTGACAGAGATCCCCATTCGGTCCCTAATTTGATCAATTCCTGTTTTTTGTTGTTGTTGTTTTTTGCCGAAATGCGGTCATTGGCTGAAATGCACAGTGACAATGGCACCTGTTCTGGAAGGGGTTTCCCCCTGGACGACCTTAGATACAGCTGTGCTGACCCATCGCCTTCTACAGGCACTTCTTCGCTGGTCATTGATGACCCACCGAGATCTTAGATCAGTAATACCGTCTGGTGACAAGCACAGCGCGACTGGGCTATATCTTCGTCATGCAAAATCTGCACTGTCTTACTGGTCAAATGGCGGTCACTGAACTACTGTCCAAAGTGGAACTGACTCGGCTCTTTCTTTTCCGTCAATTTTATTGTTCACGGACATTCTTCTTTACAGTGTTTAAAAACAAGTAGACCAAGATAAAATAAAAATTCTGAACTTGTAGCCGGCATGAGCAAATAGTACAACAGACGATAAAGAACACCACCAAGAAATCTCAGAAATCCCCACGTCAACGGTCTGCACACTTTATGATCAGCCTCCCCTACTTTGGAACAGTTAGCCACAAAATCCAGAGACTCTTAAAGAAACAGGCCAACATTGATGTTTGTTGTAAGACCCAGAGATATGTTAAACCGTTTCTACCCAATACGATAAGCTTGTGGAACGCTATGCACGGGAAGTGTATTGACGATTGGTCACGAAGAAAATTTACAATCATTTCCCCTAGCTTAAACAACACACTTGAACTTCGGTACTAGTCTTGTTACCTTATTCATTGTTGCCACAGGCTCTGTTGTAGCGAGTGAAACGCTGATAAATCTAACTGACATGTATGGGGGAGATAAGACTGATTATGTTGTTATCATTTTAAAGGTGCTATACATTTTCCATTTACATACAAATACCAAGCAAATATCAGAAATAATATGCATTTTTACACCCATGGTTATAATCTGAACATAATTTTCAATAGTGACTCAACTCATATTGAAATATTTAAATCAGTGCAGTACTTTAAATAATGAGAACTAACTTTTTTTTAATTAAATGTTGATGTTTTGCAACTGCAACATTCTTAAACAGATTCCATTAAGTAAACTAACGGTATTCGATCTAACCATATGCATTTAGTTATGTTTAGAGTTAACATGTTTATTTTACCAGCTCTAAGCCAAACGATGCATATATTTTAAATGTTTGTCACATAGGCCATGGAGTAAGCACAGAGACGAGGTTAACGTGGGTGGAACGTCGGGAGAAAATTGATAGCCATGACCAAGCCCTGATAATATTTCAAAATATATTTGTCCTTTGTTAGACTTTATCGCAGTATAAAAGGGACCCAAAGCCTAGCTTATATTCAAATATCAGAAAAACTCTTGCTGAAAACATTGTATAGCTTCACATATACACTTGATCAAAATATTGAAGAGTAATGAAGTAACAAAACTATTTCGTAGCAAACGTTTGTTGTGTAAAACAGATAGATGTCAACGGTATGTTTGCAAATTCATCTACGCATATCCCAGGAATTGGCGTTGTTTCAGTTTTGACGTATAATCTCGCTCTGAAGGCATCGACGTGCAGAATGAATGGAATCTCTGTGAGGGTGTGAGTATTATCATCTGTTAGGGTGTACATTTAGCATTTCGAATCACCAACCTTCCAGAATGGAAACTTCATGTATGTTTTGATACTTATCTTTTAGGGGAAAGGGGTTGTGTCTGAAAATTATTTAACAAGGACATTTCTTAGGAATATGGAATGAGTTTTGTCGCTTGAATTTACAAGTTGAAACACACATATGTAACAAAATAAAAGATGGTGAAAGGATGTGTAATTTATGCAAGCAACATGACTTTGATGATGAGTATCAGTATTTAAAACAAAGTGATTTCTTGGAAGGGAAAAGAATGTCGTTAACCATGGAAACATTTAAAGTAGCCAGGAATAGAACAAGAGCTTTAAAAGTAGATTGTGTTAAGACATCTTAAGACCAGAAAAGCACACATCTATTGTTTACAGGATGCACACTTTACAGGTGATATGGAGACACATAGATATTAATGACACTAAAATGAGTGCAGAATTAATTTATATTCAAATTATATTTTGACTTTGATCTTGTCAGAGAAAAAAGTACGTTGGTAAGGAAAATTATCACGCACGCCAGACTTAAATTTCTTACAAAACACCTACGCTAACACACCACCTAACACATATAGTACGGTCCAAACCATGAATCTGCCTATTTCCTGTTTTCTATTTTCTATTCGAGGACGTCAGAATATTGTCTTGTCGAAATTCCAACCCAAGCTAAAGATTAGATCATTCACGATATCGAATTACACTACAATTGACTGATACTGAATACACCAAACTGCTGAAAAAGTAAGGAAGCTGAATTGCAATATATCATGGGCAGTGATAGCATAAACGTATTTAACTTAAATGGAAAACTGTCTTGGGAAACACTTTAACCGATGTTAAAAGTAAAAGTATTAAATCGTAATATCACAAAATGATAAGGAAAGAAATCAACAAATTATAGCACAAATTTTGCTAAATGAACCTGAACTACATGCTAATTGCTAATTTATACGCAAATAATACCAAACATAGATATAACAAAAACTAAATAAGATGAAGTCACTAATACAAATATCGAAGGTCTTATCATTAGATCAAAAGGCAATGGATTGAAAATTAGAGAAACCAACTAAACATATTTTTGCCATTGAGGGAAAGACGTTTTTAAGCAAAGCACTTTTGAAACTTGAAACCAAAAACGGGAAAACTGTATCAAAAACAAAACAATTCATCAACCAAGCACAAATGTATTAAGATATTACCAATATCACGAGGATTTCGAACATTTGGTACACCTAAGCCTAATACAGATTAA